GCCAACCTACCTGGACATATTTTAATTTGGACATTAACCGTCAAACTATGCAATACCCTTTCCATTTTTAATTTTTACTGTAAAAACACAAGGTATTAAACTGATTTTGCTTGTGAAATGTTGAGACAAGACTGAAAATACACTCATTAAGGAAACTGTATTGAAAAGGAAAATGGATTGTGCACCTTTAGTCATATACATTCAAAATAGGTGGCCAGATGCTATTTAATATGCTAATGTTGCCTGACATAATGCAGAGTGATGCGTACACTTCAATGATGCCAAGTCACTAGAAGTCTGGTATGTTTGCCTACTTCCAACTGAAGAGTATCATTGGCAGATACAGAATAGCTGTTGACCTTTGCAAACTGAATTAAGCAATTTATATTAATACCACAATAGTATTTTTGTGGCCTAGATTACTTTTGGAGATTGACTAGATGACCTAATAGGTCATTTTCAGCTGTGGCTTCTATGATTTTCTCTAGGTCATAACATTCTACTCATTACATTTACAAGCCTCCAAATAATACAGATTGAGTACATATGATCAAAAATGGTTAGAAACTACTATTAGAGCAATTTAACTGCAAAAGATAACCATTTATATATTGAGAACTGTACACTCATTCAGTTCTTTCAAAAGAAAGAATTTAAATATTCTTATCTTATAACAGTCTTGCTAAAAAACTGTACCATAAAAATGTACCAGCCCTAACATATCTGTTTTGTTTAGCCACTCCTTATGGTAAAGTCAATTAAAAAAAAAACCTATATTTTTTACTTGTCCATAAAACCTTCTCTCCAAGAAATAGGATTACACACAAATGCTATAATATAAAGAAACAAGGAATATATATTAAAAAAAAATCAGTGAATGTTAGAAGAGAGCTACATTTATTTAGTGAGCCTGCCAAGCACCTGAAGCATGAATTCCTAGCTGTCAATAATATGACAAGGCCTATTTTCCCGCACTGTAACTGCATTTTTATAGTCATTTACATCTATGCCCTGTAAGAATAAAATGCACCAGTCAATTAGTCATATTTCATACTTACTTTGCACATATATTAATGATTATAAAAGATACAAGACAGTGAAGAATTAGATCCAGCTATTTTTAAACAAGGCAAAGAATAACCCTATAAAGTACCAAAGGCAGAAAATTCCAAAAGAAAACTGTTCTCCAAACACCACAGCCATTTTATTATTGACATCTGAAGTCATTGGGAGCATAATCCAATTAAAAATATTTTGGACATGAAAGGGAACAAACATAATTTCTTCTTATATTACATCTACACAAACATTTTTATAATAAACGTGTGCATATTTACATTATTATTATGACTGACTGATCTATTTTGCCCACAATCTAAACAATATCATGTTGTGCATGGCCATGTAATATATAGCTTAATTGTAAAAACCACTGAACACTTTCATCTTAGAGCTCTTAAAAATTAAGAAGTATTTTGAAAGCTTTTTCAAATCAGATTTGTATCCATGTTTCTCTTAAATGGATTAGCCATTCTATCTGAAAAGTAGTTTATGACATGCCAACAAATAATTTTGATTTTAAATATCTCTTCAGAGGAAACATGTTAAAAGAGAACATCTGTACTCTCTGCATCACTCTGCCTGTCTTTTTAGAAACAAAGACATTCTACAGACAAATGACATCTAGGTCTTTTCAATCTTACGCACATGCCAATTGCAAATCCCTTAAAATGAAGCAGACCATCAATATTAGTTTCTTCATAAAACAACAATGTATATTTACATCTTCAAACCTTGTAATCACTCTGCTCTGCTGATATATTTTGTCAAGGCACCAAGGGCCTAATTCAGAGATGTTAGCAACTGACTGAAGTGACTGTCACTGTTATTCCATTGACTCTGAATTACACCATGTGCCCATATCAAATAAAGATGTAACAGTCTACACTGGCAAAAATCTATTAAACAACCATCAGAAACTGGTTAATCCCAGGCTGGGCAGAACATTTTTTAAACTTCTTTTTAAAGGACCAGATAAGCACTTCTTTGTTTCGTGGGTGAATCATTAAAAATCCTGTGATGGAAAAAGGGGTCTAGCAAAACTGCAAATGAAGAAGAGAGATTTAATTCACCAGAAGGAATGATGTTCCAGGTGATTTCTTGCTTTTGCCTTCATCAAGTGTGGGAGGATGCCAAGGGAGCTGTTAGAAGAATGGGTGAGGAGGAGTGAAGGGGGAGGGAGCGTAGGAGGAGATGAGAACAGATGTAGGTAGGAGCACACTTGTGCTGAACCTCAGAGCTAAGGACAAGAAATGTGAACTTGATACAGAATACAAGTAGTAAGTGAAGCGATTCGCACGTTGACATGACAGCTTTGCAGCAGCAGAAGAAATTTAATGGTGGAAATTTGGAAGGGCTTTACACAAAATACACACACCAGCTTACCCACCCACCCACCTCAGTACTATGTTTCAGTAATCTTACTGACCACACACTCGGAGCCAGTCTGCATGGGTGACTGTAGACATGCAGGGAGGCTGCTCCAACATGCTGTAATTACAGCGCATCAGAGCAGTCTCAATTAATCGAGCACGCTAATTAGAGCGCTCCAGGACCTTCCACATCTCGAGCTTCCTCGGCAAGCTTTCGTTTAAGTGCCTCTGCTGCCATTTTGGAACGTGGGGACTCTGATATATGAGACACTGAGGGCTCTTTAATTAAAGCATCCCCCTGCCCTGCACCACTGAAGCGTGTCTAAAAACGCACCATATGAGCTGTGCTTGGGAACCAATTCAAAGTACTATTTCACCACATAGGGCTACCCCAGATTTTGCACAATTCTCCTATTTAGGTGGTGATTCCACATATCGGCACATTTTGAAAATAGCTTGGAACATGGCTTGTTCTTGCCCACTCTGGAAGCCAAACAGTGCTCAAAACATTCCTGGAGGGGAGTAGCATCTGTACAGCATTTTGACGTAGTTTTCAAACATGCCTTTCTCTAGAACTGACAGGCTCAGAGAACAAGTTCCTATGCAAGCTCCAATGTTAATGGTCTGGAAAACTGAAAAGCCTAAAAAAGAATGCTAAAAGAATGCAGTCACCTTACAATTAATGCAGGGATCAAGACTAGTACAGTAAAGTTTGCTTTTCATTTGTCATAAAGGCAGGGGTGTAAACTTACACAAAGACTTATCTTGGTTTTGGAAAAACTATGTTTTAGGGTATTTTTCGCTATGATTTATATCACTGAAAAGAGGAAGGAAAGTAGGTTAAAGTTAAAATGAAGGACCAGATGTCAGAATTCACATGGTTTCAATGAAAATTTCAGTATGTATACATAAACACTAGATTATTTTTAAAAAAGCCAAATGTATATACAGCAGTGGAAACAGCTGCTTTTGGACAGACCTATGCTAAAAGGCACAACTTAAACATTTTTTAATGTTCTGTATATTTCTACACAAGCAAACTGAAAATGGAATTTGAAATTAAGAAATTATAGGTGCATGCTAATGGTTAAAAGTGCACATAACTGTTTCTTCCATGTAAGCTGCAATGTATTCAGGGCTGTACATTGTATTCAGAAGACATGCTCTTTTACTGCCTCCATGAGGAGATCCAGATGCATTGTCACAGTTGGATTGTAAAATACTTTCTGGCAAACTACTCAGGGCCTGAACTTTAATACCCCTTTGGAGAAGCAGTCACTGAATGGATTTTATAAAACAACATAGAATAATAACCTACATTCCAATAACAATGCACTCAGTCTCCCCTTTAACTAGTTAAAAAAGGGGACCTGCAATATTTTTCTTAGATAGCAATAAAAAAATGTATTTTATTCTTCCTAATATATAGCACCACTCATCCCAGAGAATTTTATGCACCATGCAACACGCATACCAATGAAACACAAACCTCCCGGGGGAAGAGGGCAAGAGCCACCCAGAACACAGTGTGCAGACATACAGAAACTTGTGATCAAAAACAGCACAGGGAAACCCTTACTCTTATGTAAGATGAGAGGGGAGTCTTCATATTCTCTCAGCAGACAGAATTTCTAATCAGCAAAAGACCTAATCAGAACGATATGGTACTTCATCTATCCACCTTGCAGTGATGAAACAGTGAGAGCAGGGTAATGTAAAACTAATTTGTAGGCCACCATTCCCTTGGCTTCATCAAGTGATTGAATACAGTTAACTGTGCAGGTCCGTTATTCCTTATTCAATTTTATTTTATCATCCCTGATTAATATAACCTTAGGTTTTAAAGGGTCAGCCAGATTATGGTCAATATTTTACATCTCAAAAGGTGCGAGTTGGCAGAGATGCAGGTGTAATTATTTTAAATTACATTTCTTCAACACACACAGACAACTGAGGAAAATAAAAATGTGCATGAAGACATTCCTAACACATGCTACATTGAAGTTAACAAGTCAGCAGTTACTGGTGAGACAGAATTGCTTCATATTGTACAGACACCCAGAGACAGGGAGGGCTTATGAACATGATTCATATTATATTTTGAGGAAAACCTTAAGGTAACCAGAATTCAGATAGGTTTTTCAGCAGCAGCATGATTTAAAAGAAGAAATAACCACTGTGGTGTTTAGAGCCTTGCATTTTCAAACTTGCTTCCTAACCTTCACTGTAAGCATAAAGCCAAGGAGGCTTTGAACTGCTAGTTGGACAGACATCATTCCACACACTTGCTCATCTGGTAAAGAGTCCAGATAAAGACAGACAAAGATGAGAGAAGTTGAAAGAATGGTAGAAAAACCATGCTAAACCAAGAAACTGCCCTGTTCCACCACTTTCTCCAAGGGAGATAGCCCAGCTCAGTAAAATCATAAGAAAGCCTGTTCCAGTTTCCTCCTTACTGCAACTTCTGCCACTGGAAAGGAAACAAACTGCATGCATACAAAAATAGTTGCACAAAATGCAACACCCTGTGCAGGTTTGAGTAGTAATTATAGGAAAGGAAAGACTCACTTGCCACCCCTGATGCAATTCCATAAAGCAATCCTCCTCCGTCTGTTTGCTGCTGAAAGACATGGGTGCCTGGGGGAGGGCTCCTTTCTTGTCTAATGAAGTTATATAGCAATGTCTTCACAAGTCTGCTGGTATATGGGAGACTGAAAAAGAAATTCAATATTTATCATTCTACATGAGACCCTGGAAACTGCAGTGATGTAAATGTGTGTATATGTACATATATACATGTATGTGAGCATGAATGCACAAGACAGAAACCACATGTACAACCAAACTCAGAATTATAATGCTTTGCACATACGTAGTCCATTTCATCTACATAACTTAAAGATCCCTGAAGCTCTTACTGAATTAGGCCCTCCTGGTATTATAAATGAGGAAACTGAGGCACAATTAAGTTAACTGCTTTGCCCAAGGTCAGATGAAGAATCTGTGGCAAAGCCAAGGAAGTATTCCAAGTCTCCTACCTCTCAGCCTGGGCTTCTGCAACAAGACAGTCATTTTCTCTAACAAAAACCATAAAATTTGACAGAGTTTCTGTCTCTGTTCTTGAGCAAAAGGGGCCAGGTTTTTAGATTTTTTTAAAAAGCTTCTTTTCTGATGCAGGTCACCTTCTTCATCTGAAGGATAGTTAACATGTATTGATTTGACATCTGGTCCAAATCTCCCATTAAAAACATAACAAGGAGCAAGCAGAAAGAGTGAGTGTTGTGGCAGCTTTCCATACATAGCAAGACATAGCCTGGCTTCTTGCACTCAGACCTGAGGAAGAATGTCTTGCATTCAAAAGCCTGTCTAACTCTAACTCTATCCCACCTACACTGCTGGTTCAATAAAAGAGCTGCAACATCACTCTTACACTATACAGCAAGTAATCCCAGCATTCATTTTTCACCTTTTATTCAGGTTAGAAAAAGAAACCTGAACTGTGGTGAGGTTTTTCAATTTAAAGCCTATGTTGTTACCAGTAAAATAATAACCCTACAAGTAGCTCAGTCTGGGTGGAGACCTGCACCCACCCAAAGCTCCCCTGAACTTACTGGGACTCTGTGTGTAAACCAATTGCAGGCTTGGGATTATGGATTTGTCTGACTATTAAACTGTTGTTATCCCCATTAATTTGCTGCAACATCATCTACTAAGGAGCAAAGAGGACAGGGAGCACTATACTTATTACTATTATTCCTCTGCACCTCAGCTATAGAAAACAGGTAATGACAGTAATTTCTCCAACTACTGAGCGTGGCTAGGACCAATTTATATCATTCAGCCACCGTTTCTGGCTTCACCTCAATATGCCTGTTACATGTGTCCTTGGAGAAACCATTTTACCCTGCAACAAAGTGCAATCATTCAGATGTCTATATTTACTGTTACTGGATAAACCCTAAAAAGAGTTCATAGAATAAAAAGCGCTAACAATCTGTCCCAGGATATCATAAAGTGCATCTGAATGGTTGTCTTGGGATTGCATTCCTGTATCAATGGCAAAAAAGCAGCAGTACCTTCAGTCACTCTCTAAATCCTGATTGGAAAGGTGATGTGCATACATGCAAGTCCTGGGACTTTTCTGCTCCAGAACAGACACAGGCACAACTTTTCCTTGACAGATGCAATATCTATTCCTAGCCTTAGTGGGAGAGATGAGAGTTCCTGAACCTAACTATGTTAAAACCATCACAACCCAAAGCATTTAAAAGAATTCAGAACCATTTGCCTGAGCTCTCCAAAACCATTCACCTTCTTCAAGTACGGCTAATGCTTCCTTCCCTCAGGTGTGCTAGAAGGCTAATTTCAGCATCATTTCTGAGGCAGACAAATACTATAACAAGGAATAGTGTGGGAAAACCCCTAAATAATCAAAAAGATTTTTTGTTTAAATTAAAAAGTTTCAAGAAGTTAATCAAGTTTGATATGGATACAACACAGTTATCCTCAACGCGGGTAACTGGTATCCAAACTAAAAGCTGTACTGAAGTTGGGGTAACATTTGGTAATGTTTTCTTTTTTTGAAGTGCCAACAAACTGCAGTCAAAACCTATTATGTTTTCCTCTCCTTACATTGTCTTCATATACAACAGTCTGCGAACACAAACCAGCAATCTAACAATGGCATGAAAACAATTGTTTTGCTCTCTATAGAACAGAATGCTGGAACGTGACATACCATCGCCCATGCATCAGGTATTTATGAATGATGCTCTCCCGCAGAATTTCCTTATGAAATAGCTGGCAGGAAAGGAAGACAATCAGTGTCGTCACAGCTTCCAAGGAAATGCTGTATGTTATATCTCTGCAGGAAAAAGAGAGTATTCATACACATTTATCTATTGTTTGTTTATATATTGCATTTTAAGTTATGAGAAAAAAGCTTTAAATTCATGTGTGTTTGTATATTAACTAGAACAAAGAGCCCTTGGCTCTAACTGGGTATATGGGATTAACAAATTCATAACCGAGTCTCAACAAATAAAAGGCAAGAAAAGAGAGATCGTTCCGTACAAACAATAAATCTTTTTCTAGATCTGAGTCTGTTTACAAACAAATAAAAAACCCCAGACATCAAAGGAAAATAAAAATACAAATTAACTACCCAAAACATAAAAGTTTCATGGTTGAGCAGGCTTTTGAACAAGCTGAATCTATTAATAAAATAACATGTATATTTCAGAAGATTACACTAATACATGCACTGCACAAGCATTTAATTTTAAAAAAATGCAAAGAGAGAACGCCAAGGCCACCCCACAACCCACCATGCTGGATCCGACACACATCGTGGGGGAAAAACCTGGCATCCCACGCACTCCCTGCAGGAAAAAGCTGGGTTGCCAGGCTTCTTCCCACAATCCTGCTCAGGCTCCAGCACCACTGCCCTCCCTGAGGTGCTTGGCAGCCAAGTAAGCAAAATTCAAAGCAGTACTGCGGCTTCTTCCCATGGCAGCAACCAGGTTTTATCCCACAGCGCTGCTGGGGCTCTAGCACCATAGCTCTCACCCAGACCCAAGGCTGCCACTGCGGGAACAAGCTATGGTGCTGCTGGGGGTCCACCACTATGGGTCTTGTCCAGGAGCCTTGATGCTGCTACAGGAAAGTCCTCCATCAAGCCAGAGCCTGCAGGTTGGTTGCCTGGCTCTCCAGGCCAGATTTTGCCCACAGCTCATGTTTGACATCCCTGTTCAAAATGATCAATGCCTTGCCGTACATCACGGACAACTGGGGACAATTCAGAGCTTGCATCTCCCAGTAGACACTGGCACCCAAAAATCAGTATTCAGTGGTCATATTTTGTGCAGTTTCATATGTGAAATTCTAAACAAATTATGTAATGAACAAAGCTGTACATTTACCTATATAATGCATAATATCATAAACTTCTGGTTAAAATAAACTTGTGTGGATTAAATGCTGGTGAAAGCACTAAATCAACAGTGGCAGGTTCTCATTTATTTTGAGGGCATCCACAAGGTGTACTTTTCTCACAGGATTCTCCATAGTAAAAGGAGCAAGACTTCTTAGAGACAGTTTTTATCCAACCTATTTGCACCAGGTAGATTGGTAAGTATGCAATGTAGAGTTTGAACTGGCATGCAAAAAGTCACCTCATACAGGGGCTACCATATATCGATCAGATGGAAGCATGAAACAGCAGTGAAATAAATATTAGGTATCGAAATTACTATTCCTGACTCCTGGGGGAAAAAAGTGTCTTCAATGAATAGGGCAAATAGGATAGACATGCCACGGTTTGGGCACATTAATTGCGAAAGGTGGTGGTGTGGCAAAGTAGATGAGATCTATTATATTAGAGGACTCTATTCCTATTTTGCTGGTGAGGGAGATGAAGCTGGTCTTCTTCTAAAATAAGCTGTGAAGCACTCAAAAAATATCAATGTCTTTTTGTAAAACAAGTGAATGCGAACCAATGCCCACTTCACTTCAAGCCTAACTGACAGTCCCTGGCTCTGGAAAGGGAACACTGCTGCTCTCTCTCATATGAAATTTAACAGTGCAGCCACCTAATTCACAACAACTGGGAAACCTGTCACTAGTCTCTTGTGAACAATTTGGTTTATCGTCTACCTCAACGTTATCACTTCACAGCAATGAAATTCTTAAAAGTGGATAAACTGTTTAAAAATAATTTAGAGAGTTAAAAATAGAAAAACAAAGAAACACTCAGCCTCTTTCAATGAATGAGGATTTGTTTTTAAAATGTTATATAGAACACTGCCTCTTGCAAAAGTGATTTGAGAATTGATTTTATAAACTGGCTGGATTAAAACCTTGTGCTCTGCTAATTTGTCATAGGATTACAGTTGGTATGGTCCAATTCACAAAAATGAACAAGTTTGTTCCCTAAGAAAGTAATGTCATTTTTAGTACACTCAAGTATTTTTAGTATTCTCAGGTGTGCTATTTGCATTATTATAAAACACTAGGAAGAGCCATTATAAAGACTTGGATCATATACAATACTGCATAGATCTTTGTTAACCAAACCTTACAATGTTCTCCTGTCGTAGATATTAGCCATGAAATTTCTAGGGAAACAGAAAGGTTAATGATCTGTCCAAAGCCAAATTCTGAATAGCAGAGGCAGAATTACAATTTCCCGTATCCCAGTCCTATGTACAGTTCACGGACCAGAGGCAAAAGATTAAAGAAACATAATCAAATTTTTAAAAGGTAAGATTTGCGGTCAGTTCAGTCCAGGAGAGAAACCTAAAAGCAGGCTCTCCAAGGGACCAGGGAGCAAGCGATTGGGGAAGAGCAAACAGGGCAGTTTGCTGGGAGCAAGAGGAGGAAGGGAGACAGACACCAGCACCAGACTCTAAAAGGGCCACTGTTGTGCCAATCTAAGGAGGAGAGGAGGGAGGATGTTGGAAAACTATAGGCCAGTCAGTTTGACCTCAATACCAGGTACAATCTTGGGAAAAGTTATCAAAAAGTCCATTTGTGAGATAGTGGCAGAAGGTATGATGCCGAGGGGTAGCCAACATGTTTTTTTTGTGCACAAATCATATCTGACCAACCTTGTCCCCTTCTACGGTTAAGTAACAAACTGCTTGGATGTGGGAGATGCAGTTCATTTCATATACTTGGATTTTAAAAGGGCTTTGATATGGTCTCCCATGACACTCTTATAAAAAAAAAAACTGGGGGATGGCAGAGTCCACAGTCAGGGGGGTTGGGAACTGGCTAAGGGGGAGAACCCAGAGAGTGTTAGTGGACGGATCTGTATCATCTTGGAGGGAGGTGGCCAGTGGTATCCCACAGGGTTCAGTTTTTAGCCTCAAAATGTTCAACCTCTTTATCAATGATTTAGATAAGGATGTGGAAAGCACGCCAGCCAAGTATGTGGACAATACTAAGTTATGGGAAAAAGCAGCCATGCTAGGGGATAAGATGAGAATCCAAGCGGACCTGGACAAACTGGAAAGGTTGGTGGAGCGGAACCAGATGCAGTTCAATAGAGATAAATGCTAAGTGTTTCATCTGGGAAGAAGTAACCAGCAACATGAACATGGGTAACTGGTGCCTCCTGAGTCACAGACAGTCAAGTCAGCGACGGGGGGGGCGGGGGGTGGACTCCCCCCCCTTCCACTTCTCCTGGCACCCTCATGACCCGGCCAGTGCTCTCACCTGCCGCCTAGCCATAAACTATTAGAGGATGGTTTCAGGAAGAACTTCTATAAAGTAAGGGTGACCAGAGTCTGGAATAGACTTCCCAAGGAGGTGGTGCAGTTCCCAACCATGGAAATCTTCAAAAGGAGACTAGACAGACACCTTGCTGGGATCATATGATCTCAGCAGTATTCCTGCCTAAAGCAGAGGGGTTATCTTTCAAGGTCCCTTCTAGCCCTTAATTTCTATGATTCTGTGATTGTGCAAACTGACATGTAGTCATTTTAATTAAAGAGGTGGACATTGTTTTATTCTTGCTGTATTTATATGAGCATTTAAATTCATATGCTTTTTTATTTTTCTATTCTTGAATGTCTGTTCCCCCAAGATAGCTGGCCACAGTTTAGTCAGTTTTAGTGTTTCTAAGGTATCCTGTGTTCTGCTTACCTCTGAAAGTTAGCCAATGCAAATGTTGATCAGTACATCGGAGGCCAAAGGTTGCATTGTGATCTACAATTTTATCTAGGCTAATAACACTGCTGAACTAAGAATTAATATCAGTTTCTCATCAGATTGACAGTCAATAACAATGCAGCATCATGTCAATCACAACTGAAATGTTTACTTAAATACCAAAAGAAAAGAATATATTGAAAATTATGCTTTCCCTCTAGACCGAAGACTACATGACAACTGATTCTCTCATTTACAGCTTGGAGTCCAGCTTGATGACAAGGAAGGCTGATTTGCCCTATATTCAGAACACCACAAAAATCCAGGATACTTGGGTATTTTTATTGGGAGCCTACAAAAAGGTTAAAAAATGAAAAGACTTCAAGATATTTGACCTATGTTCTTTTATAAGTTTATGTGTAATCCTTCTCCATTTCTAGTCTTGTAATAGTGCTCAGGAATAAAACCATCTCTTAAGTTTCTTATTCCATGAATTGTTCTATTTCTTATTCCCAACCCCTGCCATATAAACTACTCAAGTGGAAATACAATTTTGAAGACAAATTAGGGAGTCTTTTTCTATTTTATATGATTCAAAGTGGCTTCCGGGAGTGCCACTCCCCGGCTGGTGCTCGCCGGGGGGGTGGGGAAATAGAGAGACACCCACCTGCACTCCCACCTGACCCCTGCCTGTCGCCTAAGTGGTGAACGCGGCTCGTCAGGGGGTGCACCAGTGCTCTCAGGAGGTGCATGTGTACCCCTGTGCACACCCTACACATCGCCACTGGGACCCGAAGATCTTCCAAGGTCCCTTCTGGCCTTACAACCTATGAATGGAGATGCCCCAACTTCTCTGGGTAGCTTGTTCCAGTGCTTTACTATCTACCTAGCAAGAAAGTTTTTCCCCATATCCAACCTAAACTTCCCAACCTGCAATTTGAGACCGTTCATTGTTCCTTGTTCATCATCTGCCACCACTGAACAGTCTAGCTCCATCCTGTTTGTAATCACCCTTCAGGTATTAAAAGCTGCTATTAAATCCCCTCTCAGCCTTCTCTTTTCCACACTAAATAAGTCCAGTTCCTTCAACCTCTCTGCAGAAGTCACGTGTTCCAGCCCCCAAACCACTTTTACTGTCCTCCACTGAATTCTCTCCAACTTATCCACATCCCTTCTTTAGTGGAGGACCCAAAACTAACAGTACTCTACATT